TATTTGTTATTTGTGTGTACTAATATTTTAGGAAAATTATAATCAACACTGCTAAAGACATCAAGACAGAGTAGACTAGGATTTCATATAATAAAGTCTGTAAGTTTTTATTTTTTATTTTTTTGAGTCAAAGAGATTATGGTTGTAATTGAGTAATCGTGCACACACATATAGGAGGAGAGAGTCAAAACTTAAAATTTTAAAACTAGTCATACTCTATGACTTCCAATCATACAGTATGATTTGTCATGTTTTTTTCCTCCAAAATGTAGTTAATCAAATCATTATTTGTACTTTTGAACTATTCGTACTATATGATGCTAGTTTGTATAAATGACTAACAGTGTATGAAATCGAATTTGTACCAATTCATCCCAAATGAAGTCATTCATTTTTGTATTGTTCGTACAATAAGATATATATATATATATATATATTCGTATATATGACTAACAGAGTATGTTATTTGATTTTTCCACGATTATACCAGACAGCATGATTTGTATTAATTGTTTGTATTGTACGATGTTAGTTCATATAAGTAACTAATAGTGAACAAAATAAGGTTTGTACAATATCTTACCAGACAAACAAATTCAGTTTTGAACTGTTTGTATAGTATGATGTCAGTTCGTACAAACGACTAATAGTTTATGAAAAGTTCATACAAGATCATACCAAGATTTTAGAACTGTTCGCACAAACGATCCACGATCGTATTATACGATCTGATGTTGATTCACTTGAAATTTTTAATTTTTGAATGGTTTTTCTTGTATTTCCAATATAAGAAATCCTAAAAACTAACACTCAATACCTTTGCTATAAATTTATCTTGAGAGTGTCCGTTGAGTATGAGTGTTTGGGAGAGATTGCAAGAGTGAAGTGTGAGAGATCTAGTGAGGTGGAGTTGTGATGGATTCACAAGGTTACCCAAAGCAAGGATCTCTTTATTTTCTTCAAATTTCTACCCAGCTCTTCTGGAAACTTTTGAGAGAAGATTTTTAACATTGTGTCAAGGTTCTCTGCCTTCATAATGAGGGTGAAAAAGGATGTGATGGTTCTCTTCCTTCACTAGGAGGTTGAAAAAGAATGTGGTGGCTCTCTGCCTTCACTAGGAGGTTGAAAAAGGAAGTGACGGTATGCTGCCATCACTTGGAGGGTGTAAAAGGCATCGATTCTCTATCACACCAGGTTGATGGAAGAATGTTTGTAAGGGCTTCTCCATCTTATAATGGAGGCAAAGGAGAGTCACTTTGATTTAGTGCAATAACTGGAGAAGTAGTTTCCAAGGAGTGGACATAGGTCAAGTTTGGGCCGAACCACTATAAATTTGGTGTTCTTCTGTTCACTTTAATTTTTCTATATTTTTATTTTTCTGCACATAAAAGTTTTGTGGTTGAAAAATCTTTTAAGATAATCATATCTAAATGACTACATATTCAAGGATCATTGCTTAAATTTTTTAGAAACGATTTTCGAAATTCAAGAAATTTGTAAAAAACCAATTCACTCTCCTCTTTATTAGCCTTGGGACAATTCAGTATGGACTAACAACCTACATGAACTTTCAAATGATAAGGAGTTGCTTAAAGTTGATTTCTCTATGGAAGATTTGGAACAAGTTGTTCAACACTTTGAGCCGAATAATCTCCAAGCAAAGATGGGATTACTTACTCTTTTATTAAATCTTATTGGTATATTATCAAAGATGATGTTTGGAAGGCCATTAATCCTTTAACACCTACTAATTACCATCCTATAAGCCTTTGTTTGTCTATTTATAAGATGGTGGCAAGGTTGTTGTTGAATATGTTGAATTATATATACCTAAGATTATTTCAGAAGTCTAATATGCTTTTGTTAGAGGTCGTTCTTTGTCAGATCACATTTTTCTTGCTCAAGAGGTGTTCAATAAATTTAGATATTCTAAATTGAAGGAAGGGTTGGTGGCAATGAAGATTAACATGGAATAGGCTTATGATAGTATGGGATGGTCTACTCTTAAGAATGTCTTAGAGTACTTCGGATTTCTTACAAGATTTTCAAAATTTTTACTAGACTGTGTGACAAATCCAAAATTTTAAATAATGGTTAATGACAATTATTCTAATTGGATTGAGGCAAGAAGTGGCTTTAGACAAGGTTATCATTTATCTTCATTTCTTTTTATTATGTGTTCTTAGCTGTTATATGATGCTTTTGCTCAAAAGGGAAAGAATGTTGGAATAAAGTTGGCACCAACTTCTCAGAAAATATCCCATTTACTTTATGTAGATGATATTATTATTTTTTAGAGGCTAATTATAGGAGTGTGAAAAAAGTGAATAACATATTGCAAGTGGACTGGAGAAAAGGTTAATACTTTGAAGATGTATATAATGTTTGGAAAATCAGTTAAAAGAAGGAAGAAGAAGGTTATTTCAAGGATTTTGGGCTTCAAGGTTGTTAATGAAATGCATTATCTTGGTATAAAGATTGCTTTGAGTAGGACGGTTTTTGTACTTTCAAAATCTATTGGAAAATGCTTTAAATGTGTTAAATGCTTGTGGAAATAGATTCATCTCTCTTGCAGGAAGACTTCTTCTTGTTAAATCAGTGTTTCTTTCCCTTCCAGTCTTTTTATCAACTCACACATTAGTTCTTATGGGAGTCTTGAAAGATTTTGATAAAATGTGTAGAGATTTTGTATGGCACAAGCAAGATGGTACTAAAGGATTACATTATGTTGCTTGGGAGGGTTTATGTAAACCAACGAACATGAGTGGACGTGGATTGCAATAAGCTTCTATTAAAGTTGGTCTGTTGAGGGCTAAAATTGTTTGGAATTTTAGTAATAAACTGGAATCTCTGCTCTATAGGACTTTGGCTTCTAAATATGGCAAAGACATAGGGAATTCTGAAATAAAACGAAATGTTTCATCTATGTGGAGGATAATTTTAAATGGGGCAAAGTATCTGCAACATATTGTTAGATGGAGCGTGTCTACGGGTGCTGCTGTGAATACATTAAAAGATGTATGGCTCCTTGATAGAAGTATTGAGAATTGGCCCACATATAGTGCGAATATGGATTAAGAATGCAAGTATCTTGATGAATTCATTGTGGATGGGAACTGGAACAAATTCAAACTGAGCAAGATCTTTGGTAAAGGAATGGTGGACATTATAAATTTAATAAATATCCATTCTGATTTATAGAAAGATAAATTGGAGCTATTTTACAATTTCTTTTGTAAATCCATCTCTGCTTAAGCCTCAGCAAAATAGTATGAATAATTTGATGAAGATAAATATTGGAGCTCGATTAGAAAACTGATGCTAAGACCTTGGGTAGAATTGTTTTGGTGGCAGTTAAATAATAATGCAATTCCGTTTAATGATTTTCTGATGTATAAGACAATATTGGATTGTAATGCCTGTCTGAGAGGATGTAATTTTATGGAAAATGCATAACACATTGCTGTAAGTTGTGACATGCTTCATCAAGTAATTCAAGTTCTTAAATTATGGGTATTTGCTATGCCAGTTTTCAATTATATGGATGATTGTAATAAGATTCTGGAAAAATTATCTACTGCTGCTCCTTTCATTAGGAATATGTACTATTCAACTTTTTTTTCTTGGAAAAGCAAGAATAAGATTAAAAATGGTGAAAAGTAAGATGGTTGTGTTTGTGGCAGATAATGCAGTCAATTTTGTTATCGCATCGTTTAATTTCAATTTGTATTCAAAAAATTGAGGTGCGAACCAGCTTCATCAGCTGTCTCATTCTTTTTGGCACTCTCCTCCTGAACAACAACAACAACAACAACAACATCAAGCCTTTATCCCACTACGTGGGGTCGGCTACATGAATCCTTTTTCTCCATTGTGTCCTATTAAAAGCCAAATTCTCGTTTAAATCTAATAAAGAAAGGTCATTCCTAATATTTTCTAACCAAGTCTTTTTAGGTCTACCCCTACCTTTCTTAACACAAGTCAAATCTAATACCTCTACTCTCCTCCTGAACAGATTAAGCTAATTATTGATGCTACTTTGTTGAGATAAAAAATATCACACCTGTAGTCACCACTGTTTCTAAACCATGATACAACAGTGTTCAGAAACAGCAATGGCAAAATATATTAGTAGTGATACTTTTGGCCATGATATTAATTTAAAAAAAAAACACTCAAAAGTTAAAACATCTCAAAGTTATTTTAAATGATTTTAATATATATATATTGCATCTATACAAAAATAAAAACAGTCAAAAATATACTAAATAAAATGTCTTTTAAATATATAAGTAAAAATAATAAATATAAGTCATAGAAAATAAATCCTTAATTTAAATAGAAAATGTGCTTCGCAGAAAATATGCTCAATAATGCCAAAATGCAGAACACACTAGCTCAAATAAACTACTTATCGTGTAGGATAGTAGCCTGCTTTGATACCATAGAGCAACAGAGACCTACATTGGGTACCCATACCCACACCCACCCATGTACCCACCCATACCCAATGGATTAGGTATAGGTAGGTATAGGTACGCTCATGACCTTGTGGGTGGATATGGGTGAGTACTCAACATCGGGGGATAAATTAATTTACATTGCTAATCACCGTATATCTTATATTACTGCAATCCTCACTACTTAGTGTGCACCACTTAACCACGCTGCAACTGGTAAATTCTGATATGCGATTTGAAAGTTTACAATCAGAGCAAATGACAACAAGCCTCAAGGCCATCAATCCTTGGCAAATTGCGTTCAAAAACTATGGAAAGTGGGTGGATATAGGCGGGTACGACATCCCGAAAGTCACCATGGGTGGGCATGGGTGGGCGAAGCCCGTTCGAGTAAAGCATGGGTACTCAACCAGGACCCCATGTAGGGCTTTGTAGAGCAACTAAGCACTAGCATCATCAAGAGGCTTAAGTATAGAAAGAATTTATGCTAACATGCCTCAACTGTCAGATTTAGGCTAAACCCACACCAACAATGCTTAATGAGTTTAATGTAAACGTTTTCATTAGGTTAAAAAAAAAACCATTACAGTACTTTGATCCTGAATTCAATCTAAGTTGTGATTTTATTCAAGTAGGACAAAACAACTGTGTCCTTGAAATTATATATTGTATTTTTGTAGAGAATGATCAGTATTACAATACCATCGGCTAGTTCCTGATTATTCTCCTTCTTTAGGGTCTATACGGATAATGCATATTTTTATGATAGGCTTTATGTGCTGGATCTCTTGAGATAAGCCATAACACCAAGACCAGCGACTAGGGCAGCTCCTGCAGCCACTGCACTGTATGCCGAGGCCCATGCATCCCTATGAGCATGTTCTGTTCCTATTGACCCACCAAGACTCTTCCGACTAGCAGACAAGCCTGGGAATTCTAAATGCAGTCTAAGACCCTGCATTAGCACAACAAAATGCAGTTCTAACTTCTGAGCATATTTTGATGGCTCCTTTTAAATTCAGCAACCAAGCAGCTGAAAGAAAATGATTAAACCCAAAAGAAGAGAACGAATAAGCATCATGACGGATGTTGATGATACCTTCCAACCAAGCTGCCTCGCATGCTCTACTGCTGCTTGAAGGTCATTGTCCGATGCAATAACAACCTTATCATGGTCTTCATCTTCGTACTAGGACGTTAGCACCAAAGACATCAATTTTATCCTCTGAAGGAAACTACATGTTATAATATAATCTCATCTTTCAAGTGGGATGGAAGAATGTCAAGCATACCAAGATCAAGGGGAGATTATTCCTATCAATGTCATCACCTACCCTCTGAAGGATAGAAGCCATGAGTTCCGTCAAGCTTGAAATGCCTTGAACAATAGGAATCCATGTTAAACAATAGATCGAATATCAGCATTATAAATGAATTAACTTACGATTTAAGATGACATGAATAATTATACGAAGCATGCTTACCACAGTGAAATCTATGCATCCTGCCTTTCCTATCCTGAACTTTAAAAGCAAAAATGGAGAAGCCTGAATACTGATGAAATGCAGTAGATCTCACTGTGTCCGTTCCATCAGATGCTAATTTGATTGAATTATCACTGGAACAGATTCTTAGTAAGTGCGTGCATGATCACCACCAAAATAAACTTTACATTGACCATTGAAAAAAAGACTACGAAACCTGCAACTGTCGTCATCATCTTCAAAAGGTCTTATTGACATTGCTGATTCCCAGAACTTCGGAATCAGAGAATGTGTTGTCTCAGCTCCACGCACGCCACTGCTTCCCATCTAATCAAATAAATGGACACTAATGATCATCGATTAAATAATAGAGTATTTCTAATATCAAGCTAATATAAAAACAGTAAAGACTAGAGTCCTCATTTTGGTTACAAAAGTCAGCTAAACAGGAATATGTGGATATGTATATTTGGTCAGCTTACTGATGACTTAGGCATCGTTTGAGACGGCTTTCTTACTGCTTCTTAAAGCTATTTTCTAGTACTAAAATTTTAATAGTGGAACTAAAAATTTGTTTTAAGAAGCAATGAAAAAGCCGTCTCAAATGAAGCCTTAATGTATGAACTGATATTATTAGTATAGTATTAGTATATTTGCATAAGAATATTTAACTTTCCATAATTCTTGCTCAGGAACATGAGACTAATGAATCAAAATATGTCCGCAGAATACATCTTAGCTCAGCGGAAAGCAAAAAATGCAACCCGCAGTGAAACTGATTCAAATATAAGTGACATCAATATTAATGTACATAAATGCACATCTCTTCATAGGTTCAAAGTTAGTAATGACATATCCACCCACTCTTCATGGAGATCAAACCATTCACAAAAGAAGACCCGTACCTCCATCTACGGCAAGTCACTCGGAAGCTTAGAACCAAAGTGATGAAGCCAAATCTCCAGGGATTATTGAATGGAGATCACCATGCAAGTTCAACTAGCATTGAAGATAACTCACAAAAATCTAAAATTTCTATTTTTTAGAGCTCATACAGCATGCCACTTCCGACGAACCCAGAGTGCCAAACATAAGAAGCTAAAGAGCTTGGCCAAGGGACATCAACTGCAAACTTGCTCAGGAAAGGAGGTGCCAAAGATGTGGAGCACTGATGAATCAAAGATTTTTGTTAAATCCTATCCGTCCTTTGGCATTTTGATCACATGGCTAGGAAGTGGATCCATGGGAGGCTCACTTGGATTGAGTTGATCTCTGTCGTCCCTTAGCATTTTGATCCCACCGCAAGTATAGGTATCCATGGGAGGCTCAGCAGGATTGTGCCGATCTCCTTCCATATTTAGGTGACTGACTTAGGAAAGATTGTATTAGAGCAATTATGTAGGATTCTATAATTATTAATTTCTTTATTAAGATATCTTGTACAGATCTATAAATATGGATAGGTTTGAGCCGTAAAACTAAGCCATTCCCTCTCCAATTCTCTGAATTTAACATGTATCAATAACTAAAGAGATATAATCTGTCACTTTCCACCACCATCCTTCATTGTCGTTGTCATTCATAAAGTAAAGAGAAGGAAAAGTGAGGAGCAAGTGGCCATCATTGTCGACCTTCTCTTGTAATTGTTGCTACTCTTATAACCAGCACAGCCTTCATTGTTGTCCTGCACCTTGCTGGCTTGATTAATATAGCCTTCATCGCTATCCTTTGCCACAAAAATGTTTGAAGCTAATTCCTCCCAATGTTGTATGAAGGACTCTATGATCCACCAAGGAAGATATCTCCAAAATAATAAACTTACCTATCGCTTAAATGGGAAGAATTATTTGAAGTGATCTCAATTTGTGAAGACCTACTTGAAAGGGAAAGGAAAGATGAATTACCTCCTTGAGTTAAAATCAAAAAACGAAGATCCTAATTTTTTGGCATGCGATGAAGGAGATTCCATGATTATGTCATGGTTATGGAATTCCATAACTACAGAAATTAGCGATACTTTCATGTTCCTCTCTGTTATAAATAACATATGGGATGCCACCAAGCAAACATTCTCAAAAGCTGGGGAGTTGCACAAATCTTTGAAATTAAGTCAAGGTGGGAAGCCCAAAATAAGGAACAAAATCGGGATTGAATATGTCACTCTCCTTCAAAGCCTTGATCACTAAAGATGCATAGAGACCAAGTTTCCATAAGATGTTGCTATCCCAATAAACATTATTGAGAAAGATAGAGGGTATGACTTTCTTGCATGTTAAATACGGAGTTTGATCAAGTTAGAGTTAAGATCATTGGCAAAGAGGAGACACCTTCATTGAACTAGACCATTCTCTCATTCGTGCTGAGAAAAGCCGACGAGGGGTAATGTTGGAGCTAAAAGTAGTTGAAGGTTCAACAATGGTGTCAACCAAAGAGGCATCATGGAAAGGAAAAGGTTAGGATTCCTAAAAATCTAAAGAAAAAGACTACCTTTGGTGAAGCTAATGCAAGAAATTAAGACACACAAAAGAGACATACAGGAAGATATATAAAAAGCCCCAAAGGACTGATAAAAGGCACATCATAAGCCAACACTACAAGAAATCAGCCCAAACCAGAAATGCAGTTCAGCTTCAGAGAGATGTTAACCTCCACATAATAATAATAAAAAAATGCTTCAAAATGAATACATGTAGTCGGCAACCCATGCCGAGGTCTCGCCCAAATCCTGTCAAATCTGCCGCATATACAGTTCTCCATACCCTGCAAACGACGCGTCTCATCTCTCGCATACGCTGTCACTGCCCTTGTTGTAGTTAAAACGCAAACAAACAAAGACTTCAAGGATCACTTCTTCTTTCCCACACGCGAGCTCTAGCGGCTGAACTCTTTTCCTCTCGCTCATTCCTTTGCCGCAGCTACCTTCCAACCTCAAACCTAAATCCACATCTCCCTTTGACGCCTCCCCACCGGATTTCCTTGTCCAGTTCGCAGAACACGCCTGCCCGACGCCTCCATCTCCCATTTTGTTTGATCAAGAGAGAGAGAGAGAGAGAGAGAGAGAGAGAGAGAGAGAGAGAGAGAGAGCTTCTTCCCACCTCCTTTATTGAAGCCTTTACCTGCCAGATCTGATCCGACCTCCCTCTAATCTGCTCCAGGCCGAACCACAAACCCAAGCCTCCATCTCAACTACTCTTTACAACAATCCTTTGCTGATCCCCCATATAGCCGCAAGTCGAACTCCCTCCATACCTGAGCACTTCCGACCCAAACAGAAAATCGCCCCAGACCCGACGCCAAGCTATGTTTCCCTCTCTTAGCTCGTGATCGAAGAAATCCACCAACACTTCGATCTTACTTCCTTGCAGGCTGAACCCATTTGAGCCGAAACCTTCTGTAGTCGAGCTCTCAAGCAAGCCATCCATCCTTATACCGAATTCCCTCCAGCTCTTTTACCTGATTTCTCTCATGTCTGCTTACCGGGCCCTTTTCACCCAATTACAGTAATCCCTCTTTCCCTCTCTCTCTTATTTATTATTAATCTATAATTAATAATATTATTGTTAATTAGTTATTTTCATATATATATACTATTTATATATAATATATATATATATAGATATATATATATATATTATAGTATATAGTATATATACAAATGTTATATATATATATATATATGTGTTATATATAATAATACTAGTGTAGATATATACATAATAGTGTATATATATATATACATATATATGTTATAATATATATATATATGTATGTATGTATTGTATAATGTATGTAGACCTCACATAATAATAAAAAAAATGCTTCAAAATGATTACTGTATGTCAGCAAACCATGCCGAGTCCGCCAATCGTTGTCAAATTGCCGCATATACAGTGCTGCCATACCCTCAAACTGCGCACTCCTTATTCTCGCATACGCTATCACTGCCTTGTTGTAGTTAAAACGCAACAAACAAAGACTTCAACGGATCACTTCTTCTTTCCGCACACATGCGAGCTCCAGTGGCTGAAAACTCTTTATCTCTCGCCATTCTTTGCGCAGCTACTTCCAGCCCTAAAACTAAATCCACAATCTCCGCTTTGCACCTCCCACTGATTCCTTGTCAGTTCGCAATACGAGCATGCCCGTGACGCTCCACTCCATTTTGTTTGATCAGAGAGAGGAGAGAGGAGAGAGAGAGAGAGAGAGAGAGAGAGCGTCTTCCCATCTCCTTTATTGAAGCCTTTACTGCCAGATCAGATCTGACCTCCCTCTAAAGTCTACTGCAGCGAACCGAAACCCAATGTCCATCTCATACTGCTCTTACAAACATCCTTTGCCGATCCCCATATAGCGCAGAGCTGAACTCCTCATCCCGAGCACTTCCGACCCAAAAGAAAATCGCCCCAGACCGACGCCAACTCTATTTCCTCTCTTAGCTTCGTGATCGAAGAACTCCAAAAACCACACTTCGATCTTACTTCTTGCAGGCTTGAACCCGAATTTGAGCCGTAACCTCCTGTAGTCGGCTCTCAAAGCAAGCATCCATCCTTATACGAAAGTTCCCTCCAGCTCTTTTACCTGATTTCCCTCTCATGCTGCTTTACCGGCCTTTTTACCCCTTTACAGTATCCCTCATCTCTCTCTCTTATTTATTATTAATCTATAATTAATATTATTATTTTAATTAGTATTATTGTAATTACTATTATCATATATATATGTATACATGTAATACAATATATACATGTATACATATATATATATATATATATATATATATATATAAGAGAGAGAGAGAGAGGAAGATTAAAAAAAAAGATTTAAAAAAAAAAAGAAAGAAAGGAAAAAAATAAAAATGAGTGTTGATTTTTGTGCATTTTGTCATCATCGTTGGCCCGGCTGCAAAGGTATAAATTTTCTAACCTAAAATACTTCTCTAGTGTCTTGCGACGAGCCGACAAACCCCCTACGTGCTCACGTAGCGTAGTAGGGAGGGAAACTGATGCGGCGCTTGCGACGAGGTAGATAATCTCTAGACCGCTCATGTAGCATGAGGAGGGCAAAACAAAGTACCCATACGTGGGGAAATCCTTGTGCTCCTTTCAATAGGTGCCCGAAGACCCTCAAACGCTCATGCAGCGGGCGAGGATTGATGAATTTGCGGTTGCAATGTCATTTGACGCCTACTTGAAGTGCTCAAGTAGCGACAATGGGAGGGCTAGTCTCTTGGTTTTTCCCCTAAACGGGGGAGACACCGGAAGGCTACCGAAATTCAGACAAAAGTGCACAAGGACTTGAACAAAAAAAGTGAACTTGGACTTGAACTT